ATATAAAACAAAGTTTGCATCCATCGCTAATTTGAGCGCAAAGTTCTCAGATAAAAGCAGAAATTCTTGACAAAACGCTGAGATAAATTGACATTTTTTTTGTGTCTCTGAAAACAAGACAATTACTGGGAGCGGCAAAGCATTCCCCGTGGCAGCAAGCCCGCAGGAGCACTCGAGGCGATGAGGGGGCTCTTCGGGTGAAGGGGGCGACGACTAACGTGTCAAACAAGAAACAGAATATTTCACAAAGGCACTTTTTTTTGTGCTCACGCAACACCGAGGCAGTCGACATGAAGCGCGTCCTGTTGAAGATGACGTCTAAGTGAAGCTTCCAGATGTCCCTGCTGGGGAGGCGATTGAGTCAACTGAAACTGTGCAGAGGTCCCAGAAGGGAGGTGAGTAATTTCCTCCCCCCAAAAAAAGAAATTGCAAGACAGTTGTCATTTTTCTTCTTCTTTTTTTTAGCATTTCTGCACAAGACGGCAAAATGGCTCTCTAATTGAGTCAACTCTGAAATGAGGTTCCAAAAGGCTTCGATAAAGGTGTGCAGAGTCAAACGGAGGACAGCGCCGCCAGGGCAGGTTGGTCTCGAAGGCCGACGGGACAAAGTTTGATTTGTCAGTCGACTCCATGCCGAGGACAAAAGTGACACTGGGGTACTGTCGAACTAAAACATGAAACAGAATTAGAAGTCACCTTTTCCTTTTGATAGCTTTCTGCTCAAACAATGCCAAACAAGCTAAGCTGATACTTACGCACAAACCGGTGCATCAACAAATGTAGACAGACAATATCAGATCAGTACTCAGAGGTGCATTTTCTTTATCCTCTGCAAAAAACAACTCCCTACTGCACTCTACCGCGTCCCTTACTGTCGTTGCGAGACTCTTAGTTTGGCTCTGCATGACTGTATTATACTGCCCCCGGTGGCCAAGTTGCACACAACTAGAATTCATCGTGAGGTATGAACTGTTCAAATCTTTAGTCTATTTAATCGTCATGACTCGATATATAATAGTTTGATTCCAGACTTCCTGTGTGGCGTTTGTGAATAAGCGGGAATATAATAAATCCTGGTTAATAACTGGGTGGGAGCTACCACGCGACAGACTGAAATGGTGTCAGAGGTGGGATGGCTACCAAGCCGGTCCTTCTGTGTCAAGGTGCACAGATCATTTCGAGTCAGCAATCTATTCGAGTGATTCAAACGTGGCTCGAGGCGACGGCTCGAGCAGAAAGGACGGCAGACGTGGGACGCGAGCCCTGTGGCCTTTGCTTTTGGGTCATCTGATTTCTTGTCGACAGTGGGTCTGCAACCTGCCCAAATTCCAGTCCCAAAACCAAGTCCTTACACACTCATGAAGACCTTATTAATATGCCAAAACGCTGTACTGAAAGACTCATTTGAGTGCTCGTCTCATCACGCCGACCTTTGAACACTCACGTCGACGTTTCTTCCTTCGAGCCAGACGAGCTGATTACCGCCGCGATCATTTTTGGCAAACCTCATCGCCCGCCACGCGCCACCAATCTCTGGGCCATCCATCATTTCCTTGAAGTGAGCCCCAGCCACGCCACCGCAACCGCCCCCCCAGCCCATCTCATACATTTACGGGCGGTGCGGCAACGCCCGCATTTGCACTTAAATGCGCAGCCAGGCTATCGGCGTTTGGGGCCGAGCGCTCCGTCATCGAGACACCTTGAGCGCCTCGGCTGGAATGACAGTCATTTCACACCCAATTAATAAAGTAGAAAGCGCACCTCCGCTCTTTAATATCTGCTGTTGGCACCTTGTAGAGCGAGGACAAACACGCGAAGGACACCTGGCTGAGCTCAGCCTGGCAAAACGGGTCGCTTTCCCGAAAGCCCCCCAACCCCCATCTTCGAAAACAGCCCCCCGGCAGCAGCCTGGCCGGCTGACACTTCACTCATTTGCGGTTCATTGGTTTTTCTTTTAGCAGAAGCCTAACCTACAAAAGCCAAACATTTATGATTGATAAATCAGAGTTTAGTGGAATACAGATTGAATTATTGTCGGTTTGCTGCAAATACAGGGGTCGGGGGGAGGGAAAACAAAAATCAGTCAGCAGGACTGAAGAAATCAAGAACCCGTGGCCTCAATCGGGATTGAACATCCATTTGGGGATATTTTCAGCGTTATAATAGCAACAAAAACTCCCCCTCGTTCATCCACCAGTAACTGGGTCTCATTTTCTGAAGCTCAGAGTCGGACGTCCTGAATAAGTCTTGAGTTTCGTGCCCAAAATCAAAACACAAAGTTGGACATTTTGGTTTAAAGCAGCCATTTCTGATCGACACTGACAAGGGAATTTGCCAAAATGAACACCAATCGGTAGCCGATCTGCCAAAAAGACGGCTAACCCAGAATTAGAAAGACTTTTTTAAGCTATCGAAGAATGGCAGGGCATGGTGTCGAAGCTTCATCATTTTGGGGGTTCTTCTAAAAACGAGCCGGCCAGATTCAGAAGACGACAGACTTTCGTCACCAAATCGAGCCGGGGAGGGGAAAGCCAAAGCGACTGTTGAAAAGTCAGCGAGCCGCCATGGCGACGGCCGCCGTGCCCTCCTCGTAATCACCGAGTTTGAGTCGAAGTCCCGCCGAGTGTGATTGGAGGAGTAAGGGAGGGGATGTGGCGCCCTCCGCTCCGGAAAGGCTGGCCTTCGTCTGAATTGCATGACCGCAAAGTGGCGCAAGCAGGCCCGGCGACGTAGAGGCACCATGGGCCAAGCGGGGAAAAGCTGGGGAGGAAATTGCGGCACCAGCCCCTCATCTTCCGGAAACATGGAGCTCCATTCATGGAAGGGGATCACTGAGGGAGATTGAAACCAAAGGAAATGGTGAAAAAAAGCACGTGGGGGTTCACCAGCAGAAGCAAATATCCTCATCCGTCTCTTTGTTCCAAAATGCTGCAAAAAGGCTAAACGTTGAATTTCCAGAAGATGGCACGCAAGTAGTCAGTGGGTAGCGATGACGAGGGCCCCCCCCCGCTGCCGCTACGCTCCATCCCTTTTTACTCCCAGCCGACTAATTAAAAAAGTCTTAATGATAGCGCGTCAATAGCCGTCCCCGCGCAATTTATCATGCACGCGCGCCATCGATCTCCGCGCAAACGAGCCGTGAAGAAGCAGAACTTTTCTGTCGGCGGGCGAAACTTGGATGCTTGGTTATTATCGGGAGTGCTGTTGCACGCATTACTGGCACTCGGCGAGGTACTTTAGGCACCGAGTCGTTGATCAATGAATGATTAATTATGGAAGATATATTGAGCTCGCACTCATGTGGCTCCAAATAAGAGTCCGAAACTTTGGCGGCCCAGCAACCAGAGCGGAGGCGCCGCGCCGCGCCGCGCCCTGCTCACACCCGACCGAATGAAGGATGTCGAACTGGGTCGAGCTAGTTCCCGACAAACGGGACCAGAATGACGCCTGCTTCACTTTTTCAATGTGAAACTCTTGTCGTGGCCATGGGCAATTTTTTTTTTCTTCAACATTCTTTTTTTTTTTGAATGAAATATGCATAGAACAATTCTAAAAATCATTGCAAGAAATTGTTACAGTGATCCCTCGATTTATTTTCCCCCCGTTGGGTTTTTGTAATATATTCATGTCCAGCACATTTTTTAAATTATTTTCGATGTAAAATAAAATCATATATTTAGTTGATAATATTTCAATGTTTTTTGAAATTTTATTAATTTTATTGATTTGAAATATTTATAGATATATTTTAATTAATATTTTCTATGGTGTGTGGTGTTTTTTGTTTTTTGCTAGATCTCTATCCATGTCCCAGTGCATGTTTTTGAATTAATCGTTTCACAATATGGCATATAAAAGGATATTTCATAATTGTTCTATAAATTCGATTATACAGTATATTTTATTTATTCCTGCTAAAATAATGAAAGATTTTTGGTGGATTGGACACACCTACACACCTAATTCAAGAAGCTGACCAAGCAGAAGCCAGAAAGAAAAAAAAAAGTCAAACTGTGCAAATGCACCATTCTCAACAGGAGATGCATCTACAATTCTAGATGCACCTCCTGTTGAGAACGGTGAGTGGATTTTGTTTGATGCGGCAGGCGCTTCGCGCCACCTCTTGTGCGGCCTGTTGCGTCATCCTTCCTTCCTTCCTTCCCTCCCTCCTTTGGGTCTGCTTGAGAATTCAGGCGGCCTTCTCGTTCTGACCACCATTGATGCAGTCATTTGTTAGCACTGATGCAATCCTGCAACGGTGTCTTGCCACCCGGCCTATCCGGTTTCCCATCTCGTCCGCTACCTTCGTTATTGGCTCAGAAATCCCGGCGCGGTGGAGGAACAATGTCTTGTTCGGATGGAGCAGACGTTACCGCACAAGAATGGCCACTGTGTCAACATTACGATGCAGCAGGAAGGAAAATTTTGCTTTGCCTCATGTTTCACCCCCAACAGATAATTTTTTTTGGCGGGGGGGGGTCTCACTATTACAAAGACATTTCAGACGAGATTCAATCTGAGGTGTCCAGGTTGGTCCAAAAAGCAACCAAGCACACTTGTTAAATGCTAACAGGGCTCCCTTGGGTCAAGTATTGACATAAACACTTC